AGGGGAAGGGGAAGGGGAAGGGGAAGGAATAGTAATAGTAATAGTAATAGTAATAGTAATAGTAATAGTAATAGTAATAGTAATAAGAGCCTTGGGTGCAATCCCAAAACATCTGGAGCACCCCTTGAAGACCATCGGCATTGACCAAATCACCATCGGTCCATTGCAAAAGGCAGCTCTACTTGGAACGGCTTCCATCCTGCGACGATTCCTTGAACCCCGTCCAACCACAACATCTGGCTATCCCAGGTCCTTGGGAAGGACTCGATCGGTGGATAAAAATGCCAAATCTGGCCGAAACATCTGGCCGACTGTGCGACCAGCCCTAATAAGTGATAGTTCTGTGGATGGATAGAGCTATGGTGGAGCGAGTTGCTTGCAGGAAAGACAAATGAGTTAATCCAGCCTTGGCGCAATCTATTCTCCTGTCCTTCCTTTGAGGACCTCTGGGAATTTGGGCATGTGGATTGCTTCAAAGATGTGTTTTGAAGGATGCCGTGAGTGAGTTTGCATGTCTTGGCCAGACAGTGCGATGGGGGCACTGTTGAGAGTAGGTTAGGGACAGATCATTGGGGAGGAACTCTATCAATGGGGTTGCCAAGAGCTGACAACGACTTGATGGGACATAATCAATCAATCAATCAGTCAATCAATCAATCAGTCTTATCCAACAACACTTGATCATGGACTACAGAACAGGGAGAAGAACGTAGGAAGAGGCCATCAGCCAGCTGTGCCCAAAGCACAGAAAGATTCAGAAAGGTTAGCGGCTAAACCTGGGGATCAAAACTGAAGTCCAGTGACATCGAAGGAACTGGGAAACTTGAGCCTTGAAAGGAAATTAAGGGGAGCTGTGATGGCCCCCTTCAAGAACTGAAAGCGAGAAGACCGTGAGTTTTCTCAGTCCTTGGGCAAGACGGAGGAGAATCGTCCAACGTGACCGGCAGGCGGATTCAAGCCAAGCATTAGGAGAACATCCAAGACCAGAAGAACAGTGGGGCAGTGGAACAACAGTCTGGGTTTTTTTGTGGGGAGCAGGGTCCTTTCAAGCTGGGAGGGGGAGTTACATGTTGGAAAGAATGGGTCTCTATCACGATGCTGGTCCTTCGAAAAGCCCTTTCCGTGAAATTCAATCAGATCCCGCTTTATTCGGTCTTAGGAAACAACTATAATTAGAAATGTTAAGGAGGGCCTTTGAATGATTTGTGGATTGATCATATTGGGGGGGGGGTCTCTTTGCATTGTTTTAATCCATCGGGTCCTGTTGTTTTTTTATTGCTTTTTAAAAAAATCTTAAATAGATGATTATTTGAACTGTATCAATTCCATCCAGTTCAAATAAATCATCTGAACATAGATGATTTATTTGAACTGGATGGAATTGATACCAGCTGCCAGAACCTGG